AACAACGAACCTTATTTCTAATTTGCAAAATCGAATTCGAATCTTCCTCTTCCGTATCCCTCAAATCGGCGATATTGGGCTATGAGAAATAGAAACAAGTAGAGATGATGGGGGTTGTTAATCTTTGTTGATGATTCTTTCACTTGATAGGGTTGATACACAAAATTGACAGTTAATGGAGGAGGTGGTATGGTTTTTTTTGAACCGGCAAATGAAGAATTATATAAAAATAGAGCCCCAACAAGTTGCTAAGGAAAAGTACATCAAAGAAGGAAACCAAAACAAAAATAGGAGAAATGAAAAACACGATTACAACCCGATAAAAGGGTTTAGACACCAATCTGACCACCGAATCGAATCACATTTTCCTTTATATTTGACCCAAATGAACAATGTCGACATAATGATATCCATCAATTTCGTCGGTTGCAGCCTTTTGTTATTGAACACTATCATTTCGTGACTTCCAAATACTCCACATAGTTCCATAGAAAATTCCCAACAATCTCCTTTTTTTTCTTTGGACAATTCCCCCAATTTGATGCATAATCGAGTGTATCGGGAACCGTGGAAAAGTTTGCAGGCTGAATGTTGCACCATTTTAAGATCCATTTCATTATCGTTTTTGCATAAGAGCATTGAATCAACATATGATCTGATGTTTCTTCTGCCTCTCCACAGTGATAACACATTGTGGAAGTTACATTGACACCTCGTTTTGATAAAGTGACAGATGTCGGAATGTGTCACACCCCGCTAAAGCGGAAACGCAAGGTATGACAACGATAACGGTTTCATTGCAAAAGATAAAGATACATCACCATAGCAGTATTTAAAGTTTACAACCCATAGCTTCAAAAGAAACAAAATACAAGTTTTTCAAAATAACATTCTTCAAAATATAACTTCATAATAGCTTCAACACGATGCAGCATGCTCTATGATGATGAATCTTTACATCCACTTACTAATTATTTCCTGAAAAAGCATGTAAAACGAGCGTCAACTATGAAAATAGTTGGTGAGTTCACAAGTTTATAAAATCGAGCGTACAACAAGGCTTTTCGTAAATACAAGTACATTGCTTTAATGATAAACAAGTTGATTGCTATTAATGAATACAAATTTATTGCTATAACGAGAAACGAGTTTGTATGTGTATGAGGAAACAATGAGTCTCAACCAAGCCTATGACTGAAGCTCTATCGAGATCTATGCTTATCGTTCCATAGATGAATATGGTATCATGCACTCCAGCGATTCGGGCGAGTGAGGAGTTGTCAATTCCTAATAGCGCTATCCATAATGACCATTGGCTCAAAGAGTTAATGGTTAGAGATAAGGGAAGGACCTTAGTACGATAAGTTCTCATGTTCCGTGTTGCATAAACATACATAGAGATACATAGTAATACAATAGCAATCATGTTTGATACAATTTAATTTAAATACAACATGCAAACAATAGTTTTTCTGGACATGCTTTTCCACCCCAAAACTTAAAAACCGAAAATAGGGGAGTGCGTGAATACTCACGGTATTTCGTGTAGGCACAAGCGGTACTTCGGGATGCACCAACGTCTTACTACTAGGATCCTACGACATCAAACACACACACTAGTGAGTTTTCATGTCAATATCTAATGCTAATATACTAAACTCTACATATAGGGAAATGCCAATTTATGTTTTAGTATTGGATTTTATATCAATTGATTACACTTTTTCTAAAATATTGAAATTTTACAAGTCGTGCAATTAATTACAAACTTGGAAGGTTAATTTTCCAAATTTTAAGTCTCTATAGCAACATAAATTCACGAAAAACAGCATTCGAGGGATAAAAATTCTCAAACTTTTTATTTAACTGTTGTTACACAATACTAAGCTGGGAAAAATATAAAAATGGATTTTCAAGCTGTTTAATTATATTTTATGATTTATGGGCATTTATTCCAATAAAAATCGAAATATATAGAAAACAGTTTCCAAAATTACCCAAACTTTTTATTTAATTGTTATTATACATAACTAGGTTGGGAAAAATATAAAAGATATTTTTCAGTGGGTATTTCTATTTTTCCTTGTTTTATTCCTTTAAATAGTCATTAATTAAAGAAATAATATTAAACAGTTAAAATAAATCACCATAAATTTTTGTAACATCATTTACAGTATAAATAACCTGGGAAAAATATCAAAAGTGGTTTTCATAATGTATAAACTGTTTTTGGGTATTTATGTGTATTTAAGTGTATTTTAGTACAATTAACTTTAGAAAATAAGAGAAAAATAGTTTACAGTAGAGAAAAATCCTAAAAGTTTTTATGTAACCTTCTACTGTATAATATGATATCCGAAAAGAAGAGAAGACTAAGAAGAAAAAGAAGTTTAACCATGAAACTATGGAAGAAGATGTTGTTGTTTACCTTGGTTTTGACCTTGAGAGAAGTAAGAACACTTCAAGGTCTTCAAAGTCTTGAAATTTAGCAGAGAAATGAGAGAAATTTCGTGAGTTTAGAGAGAGAGAGAGAGGAAGAGAGTGAAATCTGTGAAGAGAGTGAAGTGAGAAGAGTGAAGAGAGAAGAGGTGGAGTGTGGGTTTGAGTTTAATCATGAGTTTTGGGAAGAGAGTGCATGGGGAGAGGGGAGATGGCCAGATTTTTGAGACATTAAAGCCTCCTCTCTCCTAAATTCAAATTTTATAAAAAAAAAATCCCTCCTTAATTTTTATAAAAATCTAATTTTTATAAAAGTGATTCTTTAAGCAATTTTTGATTTATTTAAAAATCTTGTTTTTAACTAATAAATTATAATTAATGCATGATAATTTATATTTCTATTTCATTGGTATAATCCATAATTTGATTAATAAAGATTTGATATTAGGAAGTTTATAGCCAAATTTTATAAAGTTTTTAAGCTTTAAGATTTATAAATTTGGATTTTTGGCTCTTTAGGGTTTTTGGAATATTGTTTGATATTCAACAACATGTTGAAGTATAATTAGAATGTTTTAATTTATTTTTAGAGTTTTATACCCTATTTCAATTATAACAAAGCTTGAGCTTTATTCTACTTATAGTATTGACATTTCCTATTGTAGCTAAGCAACTTACTAGAATTGTAAGTATCAAGTATATTAGTCCTAGACCTTAGTTGGATCCTAGTTTATGCAAGATTTTTGAGCTAATTTATACTACTAGGTCATGCCATGTTGTGCATGAATGGTTTTTATAAAGATGCATGAGTCCGAGAATGACCTGAATTGACAGTTGTCACAAAATGCGCTCCTATTTTGCTCGCCATATAAAAGTCGACACCTTGATTGGAATCTCCTTCACCCATTCGAACCTCCCGATATCAACAGAACTGCAACTTTCTAATTTCCTCCTTAATATGTTGACTTGATAATTGCCATTGCTACTGATAGGGCAAGTCCATTTCAAATCATCACCTTCGTTTGTTGATTGTTTTTCCATTACCATGTTAATTGTGATACCGCATTTATCTAAATCTTTTTTGGAACAAGTGATGTTGTTCCAAACCCCAGGTAAGGTTTTTAAGGATAATATGTGATCAGGTTTTCCTTGAAGATTGTGAATGCTGGAGATAGCTTTTGCCCATATTGATTCCGGCTCAGAACGAAATCGCCACCACCATTTTACGATCAAAGCCGTATTGAAAGCTTTGATCGAACCGACACCGATCCACCCATCACTTTTGTTAGCAATTATCTTATTCCAAGATACCTAGTGTATCTTGGAATTACCCTCTGAACCGCCCCACAAAAAATTCCTTCTTAGTTTTTCAAGCTTGTCGATTATTCCTGCTGGTGCGACAAAAAGAGACATGAAGTATGTGGACAAATTTCCTAGGACCGATTTTATGAGTGTGAGCCTTCCTCCGAAAGATAGCGTCTTGGATTTCCAAATGGTAAGCTTTTTTTGAAACCTTTCAATTACCGGTTGCCAATGTTTCTTTAGCCGCATATTGGCGCCAACAGGCACCCCAGGTAGTTGAATGGGAGATTCGCTGGTTCGCACCCAAGCGGAGTCGCCCAACGAGCAACTTCTTCAAAGTGTGCCCCGACCCCAAAAACTCTCGATTTATTAAAATTGACTTTTAAACCTGATGATACATGGAAGCATCTTCAAAGTGTGCCGCGACCCCAAAAACTATAATGTTAGTTTCCTAATTTAATGAGATTTAGTTAATGATAATAATTAATATGATTTAGCATTTTACTATACTACCCTTTTCTATTTATATGAAATGATTGATTGATATTAATCCTTATATTCACACAATAGTTGTTTATCCACATATGAACCTACTTAATATATATATATATATATATATATATATATATATATATATATATATATATATATATATATATATATATATAAGGATAAGTTGTTTTCTTTTTTACATTTATTGTGTCCTAGAATCTACCAATAGAAATTTAGTAAATTAAATAATTATTTAATTAAATAAATATATATATTAAATGATTTCCATAATTATATGTATATTAAATGATATCTATAATTACTTTAAATACTATTGAGTTTTGTTTCAATCCTATTTAGATGTGATGTTTGAAACATTAGTAATGAATCATGCAATTATTATGTAACGGAAGTAAGCTTTATGAAAATTTTGGTGTTAAAGTTATTTAGTTGTTTGTTTTAGTTGTAAAATAAAAACCTGGTTAATTTGTTTTGTATACCACTAAACAGGGCACAAATAAGTAGTTTTTCCCTTGGCTTAGAAAATCTGAGACCGATCCTACCAAGTCTGGTAAGTCATATGAAGAACCGTGATAAAAGATATATAAAAGCATATCCAAGATAGAGTTGGAGTTGGTTTGCAAGAATAGGTATTTAAACACACAAATAAAGGTTTCAAAGAATAGTTTGTGAATTTATTTCACGTTAACATTGAAAAACTTCAACTAGTTACTATAACGACGAACAAGAGTTTTATTTAATTTTAGACCATTATCTCATTCGAGAGCTGAAATTACAAGATTAATATACACATCAAACAGAAGTAAATGTTTTCCACAACAATCAATTAAATATCCATTTTTAGCTTGCGAGGGGTATAGGTATAGCAACAAGTGGTATTGCCTTAAGCAATGTAAGACCGAAAATGGTATTCATGTCCATTTCTTCTTTCGCATGAGGAAGCTCCCAGTCAAAATGATAAACAAATGAGGCCAGTAGCAAACGTACCAGCCTATGAGCCAATGGCATTCCAGGGCACCTCCTTCGACCCGACCCAAATGGTATAAACTCGAAATGCTTACCCTTATAGTCAACTTGATTAGCTAAGAACCTTTCTGGCATAAACATCATCGGGTTTTCCCAGTATCTTGGGTCCCGTGCTATGGCCCATGCGTTCACAAGAATTTGTGTGTTTGTTGGTATAATATAGTTTCCGAGTTGCACTTCGGACTCGGTTTTATGAGGCGCCAATAGGGGAGCAGCTAAGTGAAGTCGCATTGTTTCCTTGATGACAGCATCCAAATACGGCAAGTCCATGATTTTGGCTTCTTCAATTTTTCCATCTTCTCCCACTATTTGTCTGAGTTCTTCCCGGAGTCTTGATAACATATCAGGGTTAAGTAATAATTCTGTCATCGCCCATGTTATCGTGTTTGAACTGGTGTCTGTTCCTGCTATGAATATATCCTGTAATTTAAATGAATTATTTTCAGTCATTTGAATATATCTACCAGAAAAGGGATACCGACATATGGAGTGGATGAGACATGCATGTGGGGACTCCAATAATCAGATAGATTAAACAATAGGAATATAATATATCACAAAGTATGATCAAGAAAAACGACAAGATGCTAGGAGATGCTGGAGCTTTGGTTCTGAATACACAAGAAATTGCATCAACTCATGGTTGATCTTTATGTGTTTGTTCAATAATGCAATATCTTGGTGGCCTAGGATGATCTTTACAGATCAAGAGAATAAACGAGGGAATTTACCACGAGTAAACAATTGATGTGTTGGAGATTGAAAATGGCTTCGTTTTCTTGACTGTAGTCGAGCAGTGAGTCTAACATATCACCAGAACTCGACACCTTCAACTCTCGATTCTTAAGTCTCTCATTTACGAAACCTTCAATCACTTCATCCAACCAGTTGAAAGCCGACTTCGCCTGACGCCGTATGTTCTGTGGGTCTAATGGTTTCAGCACCGGAAATATGTCTGCAATGTTGAACTTCCCAAGCATCTCCATATAAGTCTCCACAGCCGACTTGAAACCCCCGATATTCTCAGAGACATAGTTGGTCACGTTCTGTGAGAGAATCGTGTTTGACATTTGGTTAAGTGCCACGGCAAACGCCAGCTGTCCAATGTCCACTGTGGCCTTTTTCTCCGCCGACTCCCGAATGAAGTCAACCATCCCTGCAACCACGTTTTGGCGGAGGTAGCTGAGACTGTCGAGTTTCTGTCGATTGGTGAGATACAAGTTGAGAGCTTTCCTCATAGCCCGCCAGGTCTTGTCAGGCGGCATCCATAAGATCGTTGTTTCAGGGTGTTTCAGAGCGTTATTTACATCTGGTACGAGGCGACCGGAGCAAGCGTCGTCATTTAGTTGGAGGATTTGTCTGGCAGCATCAGGTGTCGATGCCACCACACTGGTGATGCTGCCCAATCGGATGGTCATAAGAGGACCATGTTTGTGTGCGAGCTTGGCTAGGGATTCATGGGGTTTTGAACCAATGTGGAGGAGGTTTCCAATGATGGGGAGCCTGACGGGGCCAGGCGGGAGTCTTCTTCTCCGGTAAAGATCAAGGCCATGGAGGAGAATCAAGAATATGATGAAGATGATGGAAGAGAATATCAGGTGAAGATGCTCCATTGTATTTTCCTTAGTTTCTATTATACCATATATAGTGACTAGTTGAGCAGGAAGCAGAATATATTAATACGTATGAACTCTATCAAATTCATTAAATGCCTTCACGTTATTTTGTGTCGAAATACTAGTTTAGATACATTTCTAATTGCATTTCCACGTGACGATTAAATTAATACTACAAATGAACACATGTTCTTGATCATTATTTTAAGAAACAGAATAATGAAGTAAATGTTACACCTCATTATGTGAATCTCATATTATATTGAAATGGAATACAACTCAGATTATATATATATATATATATATATATATATATATATATATATATATATATATATATATATATATATATATATATATATATATATATATATATGGGTTTTATTATTATTATTATTATTATTATTATTATTACTATTATTTTGCCTTTAGAGGGTATCAACATGTATTTTACCGGTTATTTTCGTACTTTTACCCACATTAGAAGGTAGTATTGCTTTGTCAAGTGCCAAGTTACCAAGTGAGTGAACAATATCCCCAAAATTTTGAAAACCTACAATAGCTACAATCAAACATGGTTCATACTCAAAAATCTATACCCACAAGTCGATCAATCGATATTCCTCATTTTCATCAACAAATCCTTCAGTTCCATCCATGTACGCAATGCTTGAGACAAAAGATCTCGTTGAGAAACTGTAACATCCATACAAAATCATGCCAAATTTAAATTTTTTAAAAGATTTCAGAACTAATGATTATTACAAAGCTTGTATTCAAAATAGTTTAATGTCACAGTATCCTAGAATCAAATCAAAAAATTATGAAATATGAGGAGCTGTATGATCACGCCTTCGCCTTTTCACGATCATCAGAAGTACATGAAACAATAATTGATAAATGTAAGCTCGAAGGCTTAGTGAGTTACCCCCAAAATACCAACGCCATATCATATAAACCAATGCAGTATGCATAATGAGCCATAAGTCTGACTGGACCGCCTCGCAGACCATCAGACTATCTGGACCGCTCTTTGAGCTTTCAACACGTCTGGACCACCTGTCAGGGCCTTCAGCCTATCCGGAATGCTCGCCGAGCCTTCGGCCTGACTATATGTCATCGTAGTTATGTAGTCTATCCAGTCCACCCTGGGTATCTTGGCGTACATAAGAAATTAAGACCAGCCTCAACCCAATCCCCCAATCCAACTAACATGTGCACATAAATATCATACGCTAGGTAACATATACATATAATCATACGGATCTAAGAGATCAATTACATGACACCTATCCTATAACCAGGATACAGATCTAACTAATCACTAACATAACAAACATCTTATAACCAGGATTTTGATCTAAGAGATCACTAACATAGCATGATCCTATAAACCAGGATACCGACCTACCAAGTCACTAAGCATATCATCATCCTAATTACTAGGATATAAATCGATAAGCATATGATGTAATAAACCCGTATACAAGTTCGATAAAGGTCGGTATTGGTGCCTTAGACCCTGTTGATATAGTGAGGAGAACTCACCTCACGAGTAGCTCGAAGTGATAGAGTCAAAATCCACCAAATGCAGCTCATAGTCCAACACCTACATCCACCGATGATCAAATTCGATAAATTCCCAAATTACCAAAATACCCATAGAATTGAAACTAGTCAAGCCTTGGTCATAGTAAAAATTAACAGTTAAAGTCAACAGTCCAGGTTAACCCAACTCGTTGAGTGCAGCTAACAACTCGTTGAGTTCCTTGAGAACTCATAAAGTCATAAAACTCTTACCGACTCGCTGAGTTTCCAACCAAATCGTCGAGTCCATGCATGTCTAGAAGTCAGGGTAAAACCCTAACTGACTCGTCGAGTCCTCTTAGTGACTCGCCGAGTTCATGAAGAATCAAATACGTGAACCTTCATCCGACTCGCCGAGTCGGCTAAGCGACTCATCGAGTTCATGCAGTCCATCACTTATATAGATGTTTTAAGCCACCCCAAAGCTCCATGTTGCAGATCCAACCTCCTAGGGCATCATTTCAACGTAAAGTTGCAAACTTTACGTACATGCATGGTCCTAAATGCCAAAAATAGATTAAGGGAAAGGTTAACTGAACGGGAAAGGCCCAAGCTTGCCATATCTCATAACTTTATAGATATAGGGAGCAAGGGGAGTGTAGATCTAAAGTTACAACTTCAGATCTTGCCCCAATACTTGAAATGACTCCCAAATGTGCTAAAGATAGCCCAAAACCCAAATATGAAGAGATTTATGTATCTAAATAGATATGTTTATATGGACTATATTCATTTTCACATTCTTGTTCAATAGTTGTTCTTGTACATTTAGTCACATATGATTTCTGTACACAAGATTCTTTTTTTCGTTTTTGATTAAATAGTTTTTTTCTTTTTCCACATTAATCATATGTGATTAATATATAAAATCACATATGATTAAATAAATAAGAAAAAACATTGAATCATGAATATTATCAATAAAAAAATCATATGCAATTTGATACATATAATCACATGTGATTAAGTACATGAGTACAACTATTGAATTGAGAAAGAATAATGAATCTCGTCCACATAAATCATAAGTGATCAAATATATATAATCACATGTGATTAAATATATTATAATAATTATTGAATCGACGCAAGAATAAATATTTTCCATAAAAATCATATGTGATTAAATAAATATAATCACATGTGATTATATGTATCCAATCATATATGATTTATGTGGATGAGATTAATGTCATATTCTCGATTCAGTAATTATTCTTTGTCCACTGTAATCATACGTGATTAAATACATATAATCATATGTGATTATATGTATCTAGTCACATATGATTTATACGGATAAAAAATAATGATGTGTATATAAATCATATGTGGTTAGATACATATAATAAATATGATTGTATACATAAGAACAACTATTGAATCGAGAACACAAAGATAAATATTATCCACATATATCATATGTGATTAAATGCATATAATCACATGTGATTATATGTATCTAATCACATAGAATTTATGTGAGTTTTTTTTTTCGTGTTCTTGATTCAGTTGTTGTTCTTGTGTGCTTAATTATATGAGATTTTATGTATCTTATTAGATATGATTTATTTGGACGATATTCATTTTCACATTCTTGTTGAATAGTTATTCTTCTATATTTAGTCACATATCATTTCTGTACACAAGATTCATTTTCGCGTTTTTTATTAAATAATTTTTCGTTTTCCATATTAATCATATGTGATTAATACATATAATCATATATGATTAAATACATAAGAAAAATATTGACTCATTAATATTATCAACGTAAATCATATGTGATTTGATATATACAATCACATGTGATTAAATACATGAGTACAACTACTGATTTGAGAAAGCAATAATGAATATTGTCCACATAAATTATATGTGATTAAATACATAGAATCACATGTGATTAAATATTTTAGAACAATTATTGAATCGATGCAAGAATAAATATTTTCTGTACGAATCATATGTGATTAAATATACAAGAACAACTATTGAATCAACACGTGAAAACAAATATTTTCCATATAAATCATATGTGATTAAATACATACAATCACATGTGATTTAATATACGATGCCAATTATTAAATCGAAAACAAGAAAATAAATACGGCCCACATAAATAATATTTTATTAAATACATCAAATCACATGTAAGTATATGTATCTAATCACAAATGATTTACGTGGACAATATTCATTTTTTCATTCTTGATTCATTAGTTTTTCACGTGTATTTAATCACATGTGATTATTATGTATTTAATAACATATAAATCATATATGATTCGATACATATAAACACATTTGACTCGATACATATAATCACATGTGATTATATAGAAGAGAAAACCTAATGAATCAAAAACACAATAACAAATCTTTGTTGGTGGGGGTGGGGGTGGTGGCGGTGGGTGGTAGAGACAGGGTGGTGGTTATTGGTGGTAGTGGTGTGTGGTGATGGGTGATGGTGGTTGGGTGGGTGGTTGCAGGTGGTGTTGATAGTGATAGGTGATGGTTTGGTGGGTGGTGGGTGGGTGTGGGTGGTGGAGGTGGGTGGTGGGTGGTGGTGGTGAGTGGTTTTGGTTGGGTCGTGATGGTGGTGGGTAGTGACAGGTGGTTGTTAGTGGTGGTGGTGGTTGTTGTGGGTGGTTTTGGTGGTGGGTGGTAGCATGTAGTGGATAGTGATGGGTGGTGGGTGGTAGTTGGTGGTAGTAGGTAGTGATGGGTGGTGGTGGTGGTGGGGGTGGCGGGTGGTGATGAGTGGTGATGGGTGGTAGGTAGTGATGGGTGGTAGTGAGGGGTGGTAGTTGGTTGGTGATGGTGGTGGTGGGTGGTGGTTGTGGTGGTTGGTGGTTGTGTTGGTGGTGGGTATTGATGGGTGGTGGGTGGTGATTGGTGGTGGGTGGTGGTTGGTGGCTGTGGTTAGTGATGTGTGGTAGTAGTGGGTGGTGGTGGTGTGTAGTGGTTAGTGGTAGTGGATAGTGATGGGTGGTGGTGGTAGGTAGTGGTTGTGATGGGTGGTAGGTAGTGGTTGCGGGTAGTGGTGACATGTAATGGAGATGGGTGGTGGAGGTGGGGGTTGGGTGGGTGATTTTGGTGGTGGCGGGTGGTGGTTTATCGTGGTGGTGGGTGGTAGGTGTTGGGTAGTGATGGGTGGTGGTGGGTGTTGGGTTGCGTTGGGTAGTGGGTAGTGATGGGTGGTGGTAGCGATTGGTGGTTGGTGGTGATTGGTGGTGATGGTTATGGTAGGTGGCTAGTGTTGGGTGGTGGGTAGTGATGATTGGTAGGTACTGGTTGGTGGTGGTAGGTAGTAGTGGGTGGTGGGGGTGGTGGTGATGGGTGGTAGGTAGTGGTTGTTGGTGGCGGTGGCGGGCAATGGTAATGGGTGGTGGAGGTGGGTGGTA